ATATTGTTGTTGTAATACATTTTACCATTAATCAAAGTTACTCTACTTATTACTTAAATGTTATTATTGTTTTTTAAATAAGCTATAATAATATGTTCCTTTTTTTCTGTAATCAATCAGATGAAAAACTGATTGGAAAAGAGCAGAAGGACATTGGAAACCACCTGTTAGAAGCTGCAGCACCATCGGACCAGTGTTGTTCGATTGCTTCCTTAGAGGATCATAAAGCCACAGAAAGTCAGGATGATTTAAACAAAGACATGTCAGCTGACACACAACAAACAGTTTGTCAGGCCGCCACCACACAAATACACAGGGGTCGTGGTCGACCCTCTAAAACCGCCCAGCTTTCTGCTCTTAAGAACATATCTGTGAAACATGAGGATGAAAGTTCTACACCAGATGCTTCTGAATTTCAGGATGACCCCTYGGATTCTGACTACACAACTAGTAAGTAGATCGTTTCAGTTCATGGTTTATATAATGGTGCAAATAGTTACAACTTGTTGTTTTATAAAATTGTCTCCAGAATCACATCTGAAGTCTTCAGGCAACTCGTCCTACATGAGCTCCCGGGGGAGAAGAACCCGCAAGCCTCCTCGGCGTAACTTTCCACCTGGTGAGCAAGAACTAKTGTATCAGCTTCAACAGTAGCTTGTGTCAAATTTAAGGCCTGCGAGCCAAATGTAGTCCGTGGGCGACTTCGGTTTGGCCCGCTAAAAGGGTTATGCCCCCTCACCAAGTTGTTTTTATTTTTATTTTACTTCATTAAAACTAGCTGGGGTACCTGGTGCTGCCTGGGTAGTCCCATGATTGCCCAATGTTTGTTTTTATACTACTGATGTCTTCTAGCCATAATAATGTGTTGGAATGGCTAAAGTCTGTCTAGGAAAACTATAAGATGTGGAGTTCCAAAACCAAGTGAATCTGACAGTGGCGTAAGAGTACTTGACTATGCCCAGGTTAAAAGAGAAACACATTTACCGTATTTATTCAAGTATAATACGTAAAATTAAATYCATAAAATCATCCATAAAGTTGGGGGGTAGTACTATACTCGGATAAATATTTTTACTTATGTATTTTAACTGAAATATCGGCTTCATTCACAAAATGTCTGAGTCCGGAAATGAGACCGCGTCGTAAAAAGCAGCTGAAACGAGCTTACCTTTGACACTCCTCTGTGCTTCAGAGCGAGATAATAACAGATCCAAGCAGGCGACATGATGTGAAAAAAAGGGGGGGAAGTATTCCTGCACCTTAGTAATGATAACAAACTAATGACATTAACGTGTGACCAGGCCGCTCCTCGAACAACAACAAACATGTTCGTCTGTAATGGCTGCCGTCTACCGGTGATCTGAAAAAGTTTGTATCCCTGAAAAAACATTTCCCCACCAGAGAGGGTGCTTGCGAGTAGGAAGTAATCTGCTTCTTCCCCACAAGATGGTCCAAATCTCATGTGAAGTCTCTGACTTTTGTGTTGGCGCCTCCTGGTGGACTATGTGTAAAATACCAGAATTCATGATGCTGCTACATCTGATATATATTTGTTGTCAAAATAACTTTTAGTACATATGTTGTTAAAATAAAATGAACAGTCCAATGATCATTTTACTGATATGTATAAAGACTGCAAAGGCTGAAAAATCTTGAAGTCTGTATGAAATTGGAGGTAGTTTGAGGATTAAATTTTTTATGCTTTTCAAGCTCAAAAAAAGGGTGGGGGGGGTCGTATTATACATGAGATCGTATTATACATGAATAAATACGGTAACTTCTAACTTTGTATTGCAGATGTAATTTATTACAAAGTTTCAAACATAAGATGGGTAACAACAAATGKAGCATGCACTTAACATGTATAAATAAGATAAGGACCCATAGGTGAACAAAACCTTTTTTTTTCCGATGACCTTGAAATGACCTTGTTGTGACATTACCAACGTGCATTTCAATGTATTTTCAATGGGAAAATTTGGGCCAGAGAAATGAAAACACATTTCTGTAGCAGGAATYGAACCCTAGCCACCCAGTTTGCAAGCCAGAGCTCTCCTGACTGAGATATCCAGGCCAGTGCATGTAGGCATGTAGGCAGTGTATTGGTAAGGGTTTTGATTTTGCACTACCCCAACGTTGGCATACTTCTATTTTGTTTAATATTGGTATTATTTTTAAACAGATGTTGTTGAAAGCAATACCAGATTGTGGCCCACGTGATGGGGRATCAGAATATATTTAGTTTTGGGGGTCTACCTGTTACGGTTTTTGAGTTTACCCCGGACCAACARAAAAAGCCTTCTTCCTTTATGTATGTAGATGAAAACAGTTTTTATGCTAAACTTTGAAATTATTATTCATTATAACAAATTTAACAAAGTTAAAAGTTTAAAGATAATATACTTGTCCAGCCCCAGACCTGTTGGCTTCGAGTACCTGTGGCCCCCTGAGACATTTAGTTGAATAGCCTTGTATTAATGTCTCAAAAAAGTTGCTTTAAAGCCAGCATTGACCACAAACTACATCTCCCATAATGCATTGCATTCGATTATGCATTGGGAACACCCTGTTGGGAAGTGGGAGAGTTCGTAAATCAAGACTTACCACAACTCAACAGTGAGTAAARCTCTCACTTTTACTTTTATTAGTATTTGTTATTTATTTCACATATTATATCAGAGGAAATACCAGGTAGAGCTTAGTTATTGTCTTTTAGTGGTGCCCAGCCGTAGCAACAAGACAAGGAACGTGACGACTATAATGCTCATGCGGCCCCCCCATGAAAATTTATTTGACACCCCTGGCTTAATGTTTATACCAACATTACTTTGACCACAATGGTCAAACAGCTTTGATCGTTTTAAACGCTCTTTTATTGATTTTGACAATGTTCTATCCATGCGTTTACAGAAGACGACTCTGAAGATGAAGGCCTATCAAAAGTGAAACAAGAGAAGAACGTAGCAGAGCCCGAGGAGGAACAGGAACCAGAACCAGAACCAGAATATGAGTACGAGGATGTTGATATTGATGATGAAGATGTGGTTGAAGAGGAAAATAAAGAAGCCAGCCAGGAAATGGAAGAAGTGGAGGAGAGAGATGGAAAGCCAAATCAGTCGGCCTCCATGAGCAGCAGATCTGAATCAAAGTCTTACAGCTCTGTGATACACAAATGCAAGGTGAGAAATGGTGTTTGCCGGAAGAAAGAATTCCAAGGTAGCCAGTGTTATGGTGCGTTCACACCGAACGCGATTTCAGCTTCAAAATCGCAGCCAACGCTGAAGTTGGTCGCTTGTGCACTTTGAGGTCAGACACAGTTCAGCTCTTGAAGCGCTGCACGGCAACAGCCTCCCCGCCCCTCCCTCCTCTGTCGGGCTCTGTTTAATGTCGGACGAGGAAGTGGCTTTGCGTAATTCATAATTAATTCACCAGATAATTCAGAGTAGAGGCTCACAGCTCGCTTTCAGGACTATTTTTCCAGTCTGATGAGTCGCTGCCACGCATTGCTGCGGATCAGGACACGACTGCAGGCACTCATTTCAGCTAAAGAGCAGGAGCTCTGTCTGTTTCAGGTTAGTGGACATCATTCAGTAAACTGTCCCGTYGGGAAATATGTCRCTACGTCACACAGTGGAGTCTCTCTGATTGGTTGACGCGGCGCGTCGAGCTGCAAAAGTTCAGATTTTCTAACTTCAGCGATTTGCGCCTCAGCGCGTCGAACGCTCAGATCGTTCAAATCGTTCAAATCGCGCTGCTCTGCTTGAGGCGCCGCAGCACTTCCCGACGTTGCTTGAAGCGTGTCCACCATAGACTTTGTATGTAAACCTGATGCTCCTGACGCTGAAATCGCGTTTGGTGTGAACGCACCATTAGAGATCATAGGGATGGAGTTTTAATGAAAATGCTGTTTGCCTGTGTGGCTAAGCATTTCAAGATTTTATTGGTTCAGCCTTTCTTTTTTATTTATTTTTTTTAGGACTGTGGGAAGAAATTCACCCACACAGGTAATTTTAAGAGGCACATACGTATTCACACGGGAGAAAAGCCTTTCAGCTGCAGGGACTGCAGCAAGGCTTTCTCTGACCCTGCAGCTTGTAAAGCCCATGAGAAAACACACAGGTGAATTACAAATTTATTCTATATTTTTGATCACATTTACTCTCTGATCTGCATCAGGATTTTTTTATTTTTAGGTTTTAAACTGGACTTTTTGTTCTCCTCTGTAGTCCTCTGAAACCGTACTGCTGCTCCACCTGTGGAAAGAGCTACCGCCAGATCAGTCTGCTCAATCTGCACCGCAAGCGGCACACGGGGGAGGCGCGGTACATCTGCGAGGTGTGCAGCAAGCTCTTCACAACGTCGGGCAACCTGAAACGCCACCAGCTGGTGCACAGCGGCGAGAAGCCGTACCAGTGCGACTACTGCGACAAAGCTTTCTCCGACCCCACTGCCAAGATGCGCCACCTGGAGACGCACGACACTGAGAAGGGCAACAAGTGCCCGCACTGCGACAAGTGCTTCAACCAGGTAGCACCGTCTTCCAAAGAGTTCGACTGGAACGGCTTGATATATCTTTTTTTTTTTTTATAAAAATATTTGCATCACCAGCTGAGCTGTACACATTTATGGTAATTTTCATTAACATTTTCCTGCATCTTCTCACTAGGTGGGGAATCTGAAGGCACATTTAAAAATCCATATTACAGATGGACCTCTGAAGTGCAAAGAATGTGGCAAACAGTTTACAACTTCAGGTAAGATAAGGATTTCAATTCTTCTTTTATGAAATAGGCTTGCTATGAAGTAGTCTCACATTATTTGGTTCATGTTTGATTCTGCTCAGGTGTGTGTGTCAGCATGGTAATGTGTTCCTCACTAACCCTAACCAGAAGTACAGTAATAGTCACTGTTTGTCCTCTGGCATTGAAAGCAGTTAAAAGTTTTTATCTTTTTTTCTTGACTTTTGAGTGATTTGATGTCTACTTTTCTTTTTAGGAAACCTGAAAAGACACCTGCGAGTTCACAGTGGGGAGAAACCGTACGTGTGTGCGCACTGTCAGAGAGCTTTTAGTGACCCTGGAGCTCTGCAGCGCCATGAACGCATTCACACAGGTACTCCTGTCCAGTGTTGTATAAAGTACCACAAAGTGATACTTGAGTAAAAGTACAACTATCTTACCAAAAAATTAATTTGGTAAAAGTTAAAGTCTCCTTTGGAAATATTACTTGAGTAAAAGTATTAAAGTATCTGATATATTTTGTACTTAAGTATTAAAAGTAAAAGTATTGATTTAAAATGAGCAGTTAGATTTTCTGTAAAGACATTTATTAGG